GTTTAATTCATGATAGATCTAACTAAAAACATTAAATAATATTATATAGAATTACGTTAGGTACTTTTTCACTTTCCATGAAGATCAGAAACGGTTGCCATGTTAGTTTTTAAGTGTATATTTATCTAGTATCCTATAAAATGTTACACTGGGACATTTTCATGATTTTTCTTGGAAGATGTGAGAGCTTATCTATGTATTACTACAAACATAGTTCAATTTCCTTTGAAAAATACCCTACGAGAAGCATATCGCGTCTTAAGCTGATAGTCCTCGAGTGTTCTTTGTCATAACTGGTTTGAATTGTAGCATTATGCGCTCATTTTTCTTGAGCAGAATAATCGAGAACGGATTAAAAAAATTACGTTTGTTTCTTGTGGAACCCCCCCCCAAAAAAAAATGCTGTCAAGAACCATCAGCGTAAAACAAAATAGTCTACAGGAAATCCGAAGAAAAAGGGTAAGAAAACTGCTTGAGGTAACTAACATCAGTGACAGTAGATGGTGTCTATAGTATTTGAAAGTTGTTTTATCCAAAAACAGTACATACTTTAAATTACGTACGCATAATCACGTATAAATGATTGTGTATTATCTGGAATATTGTAGGCACTGTACGGGGGAGGGGAAGAAAAGCTTCCCTTCCTTCTTTACTTTCTTTTTATAATTTAACTTCATCTATTTTAATGATGTTTACAATTTAATTTCATCTGTTGTTATGTTTTTTTCTGACACCAGTCGTTGCGTTATTTTCTTCTTTCACGTTCGTACAGGTTTTGTAGATATGGAGTGAATAATTGAAGTATCGAAACACACTTTATTTAGCCAATATTAATCAGGACAGCTCCAAATTCACTTTTTACAGTCGTAGAAGAACTACTATAAACACGCTGACACAATCAGAGACACAGCCTTCGCACTATCAGACTATAACGGTCGAGACAGCTTCGCTGCAAAGCACCAGAGTACAGCTCCCGACTCTGCTTTGTCATTCTCGGAACTCAACGTACTCTCGAGACTCCACGCTACAACTGGCGATGCACTGGACGATACACAAGAGTATAGCTTTCGACTCAGCACAGTCTAAGACAAAACTCGACGATGCACTAACTCACGATACACTAAAAGACTCTGTCGATGCCTCGACCAACTCTTCGAGACACTCGCTCAACGACTGACTATCAGCTCGCTAGACGAGACACACACGAACTGACTGCGAACCAGCAGGATTTAGCTTGTGTTCGAGAACATTCTGCGCTAAACCGGTACGAATTCGTTCCAGAAGGTTCTCCATCCGTCCATGGCATATCGTCAATTTTGTCGCCAAATGTGGCAACCTTGCTTTCCCTTGTATGTTATGGTAACCCTAAGCCTGCTTTGCAGGGAAGCCATCTTACCACGCCTAGACACTTCATAACGCTATTTTAATTATGTTTATTCTTTTATTCTATACGTATAATTTTTAATTTGAAATTTATTTTGATTTAGCGAACCTAATGAACTTATTCGATAGATTAAACTGCTTGAAAATACAAGTAGATAAGCAATAGTATTAATTGTAATATGCTGTAATTTTGCTGTGTACTTCTTCAGTGCCTTTGGATGAACTGTGATTTTGAATAAACTGTGGACGTCGTCTTGAATATACGTTTACTGTAAACGTTTATGTATCGTATTGGCAAGTTGCGATATTTTACCTCTATAAATGTTTTCAAGTGATTTAAAAACGTATACATAAAACAAAGAAGTATCCCGCTCGACAATAAGAAGAAACACGTAATGCACAACCTGCGGCAGCTACTGAATAATTTTAGTGCGTGACTCGTCCTCAGATGAGTCGGTTGTTTATTTGGATAGCTGCTAAACTACTGGGAGTTCGTGGTAGGTCCCGATTTTAGTGTGGGTGGATAATATTTAAAGGGTTTCTGCCAACAACAGGCAAAAGCTGAACGATGCTGTGGAACAATTAAATTATTATCTACCTTTGAATTTCAGCCAGAGTGACGTAACATTTATTACTTAAATTAACAAGTTATTTGTAATTTCAGCCGTTACTATAACTTTCCGTTTCCTTCCAAGAAATGTCAATGAGTTTGAGAGTATTTAAACCGTGGCTTTTAGATGATAATAATATAGCGTGGTTCTGCCTCTTGAGGCCATATGCTAAGTTTCGCCAGTTCTGATAAGATTGTAATTATTCGGCTTTGCGTTATAGCTGCTGTCATTTAAATTGCTACGCCAATTAGAGATTTGCGCCAATTTCGATTTAAATTTACTTGCGTATACTTTGACTACTAACCTAAATTGTAATTTAAATTTGACTTTTACTGTTTTGTTAAGAGCAAGAATGATTTTCATGTTCGTTTTACAGTTCATAATGCAACTTACGTTTTTTATTCAGCATGTAAAGACTTAATTTTATTCTAAATTATTTTTAGTATAAAGGAGCTTTGTCTCCGAGAGACTATTGTTTTCGCTTTGCGATTTTGAATCGAGTCACTCTGAATATCCGTTTGACTCTTCATACTGTTGCCACAAAATATTGAAGAATCTGCATAAACGTATGTATGTTTCTCGCATTTTGGTAAAACAACGGTACCTACAGCCATCGAATTTTGAATGACGTAATCCTACTTCGAATATGTGCATGCGGAAGCCCAAATTTGAAATTTGTTTTATTATCGATTTCATATTTTGTAAAACTTTAACGAATTTTTGATTAACAAACTCAAGGATTTCAAAGCGAGCCGTGGCAACGTTGTATAGAAAAAACATTTTTATCTCCAGCGCGCGAGACTGTGTATCGGAAATTCTAAAGATATGCTCAACTTAAAATTATTTTGCGATATTGCTTTTGAACTGAATTTATGGTTTAAGTGCGAAGAACATGATATTTAGTAAATAAAGGTAACACACAAAATGTTAAAAAACACCTCTTTGAACGTGATTTAATATCTGAAACCTTTCAGATTTTCTTTTTACTTTTTTAGTTTTACTTTCGTTTCCCTTCTGATTTCAGTTTCCTGCCGGAATGTAAATTTTGTAATGACGTTGTATGCTAATCTAAACGTGTTTCAGAAGCAGTATTTAAGCTGAGTTTTAAGAGTTCGAAAGGAGTAGTAGGGAAGTTAGTTCCGAGTTTATGATGGGTGTTTGAAGTTAACTGTCTAGTCGCTGTTAGACACCTTTCAGTTTAATACTGATATTTCTAGGCGTTTAGTTAAGCTAAGGAGCTAGTCGTTAGCCATCTTAATTTAATGTGCTTTTTACATTTTTATTTTCTATTAATTTAGTTAGCCACAAGTGGTGGTGAAGTGTGAGCACCAAGTGCGTGCATCTTTTTTAGTTTAAACAAAAAGACTATTTAAAACCTTCTGCAGTATTTATTCTTCAAAGACATAGCAAGTATTCTCTACTTCGTCTTCTACCTAGAGTCTACATTTTATGCCACCAAAGAGAGAGAGACTTTATTGGTTAAAAGACTTAAAAAAGGATATAATGCTTTACGTAATTATTTTCAGTGTTCTGAATGCGACTTTGTTCCTCCATCAGAGCTGTTAAATGCACTTCTAAGTTTCTCAATAATTGAAGTTTGAAAAAATATTAATAAAAGGCGGCGCATGGTAAGCAATACAGTGAAAGATAAACTATTTAATTAACTATTTAACTAACTATTTAATTATAGTAACAACGTTAAAGTTCTAGTTATTTTGCTCAAGAGTAATATCCGCATACCCCCCCTTTAAAAAAAAAATCAGAACCTTTTAACCAACGTGTATCAGCTCAGAAATTCGTAGATTCTTCTGGACCAGAGAAATATTTTTTATACCCATTTCTCTTAAGAGGAGGAGGTAAGCTGCTAGGAACGTATTCGTTCTATTTTTGGGTAGCATTCCTTCTACCTGCGCTCTCTCATGCCCCCAGGGTATTCGAATCGCGCCAATCCTCTCTCATTCATTCTGGAAAGAGAATCTCATTTCTTCTGAGAATTATCGTTACCCTTCTACTGATTTTATTACCTACGTGGGAGTAAAACTTCGCGTAATTTGTTCGTTTCAGAATGGAGCATCGTCGATAAATATATTTATCCGCATCTTCGTTATATATATCCCTATTATGACGTTTGTATGCTATCTTTAACCCTCACTTAAAGATGCGTGGTTATATGAACTTCAGAAATATTGGATAGACGTACTTATTTATTACTTTATTTCAGTATGCTTAATTTGTTCTAAAACATGGTCGAAATAACTGGACGGAATTATTTATGCGAATAAAAAATCCTTTTATTTATCGTATTCCTTAAAAATGTCGCTGATTTTTATTCATTTTTTACTGGAGTTTATTAACTTAAATTTATTGATTACAATGTAGAATATTTCTAGAAACGGCGAATCCTTTCCTTTGAAGATCGAAATCATCAGGAATTGTGAGCTGTCGTTTTAGGAAGCGCCCGTTGTATATAAACAAAACTTTCTGTTTTATTTTTTGTGAGAACATTTGAAAACCACATTTAGTGAAACTTGTGACGACTATTTTACTAAGACGACAACACCTGAAACTAAACAATATTTCTGACAACATAAACAAACATTTGTATTGCATGTCACTTTTTACAAAATGGCCACCTCCCAAAAGACCAGAATTGTCTCTAATCATAAACGGTCGCCTTAGAGAGGACTCTGCGCACAGATTTCATTGCTACGACCGTTTTGTCAGTAGACCGAAGTAAACTAAAACCGTGATTGATCGTCTTATAGGGAGAGTTTATTGTATATTAAAATTTCAAAGTGTTCATCTAATCCAGGATTACGTAACATCTGACATTAAAAAATTGTTCATTTTTCTTTAAATTAATTTAGTAAATGCCTTTATAATTATCATTATGTGAGTCATTATTTACATATTAAACTATGCATAGTGAAATTAGGGTATATATTTTAATTATAGTATTTTCAATGGTTTAGAAAATTAAACTAACATTTATTTTTTTATTTTTAGCTGTCACAGTTCGTTTCTTGACGCAGAGGTTTATTGGAGAGTACAGTTCACAAAAAGGTAAGGGAAAATATTTGAATTTTATCGGGGGGGAAGGAGAGAAAGTGAATGAGAGAGTGAATTATACGTTTGGGGGGAAAGCAATGTTTTAAAACAGCATATTTGAGCAAATTTAGAATATTAGAAAATTTGTATTTAAACTGCTTGAAAATGTTTACAATTGCAAATATTACAAGATTTAAAATAAGTTATAGATAAATAAAATAATTTTTTTTTTTTAACTTAAGTTTCCACACATGTGCTCTTCCCACACAATATTGACAGTCTTTGACATTATGGATTCTTCTGAAAGTTCGAAAGCTTTATTTTAAAAACATATTTTTATTCTTTCTGAATTTACAGAAAGTGCCATTTTGGGAACAGTTTTTGAGAATGCAACCAATATTTTTTTTTGGGAGGGAGTACGTGTTTGAAAATAGATTCATTAGGATTATAAAGAAAAGCTTAGAAATATTTTTAAACACTTCGAAAAGAAAGAGAACATTTTATTTACAGTTACAAGCAAACTAGAGGTTTTATAACGTGTTTCAATATCATATATTCTCTTTTGTAAAAGATTACATTCTGCTACGAAATTTTGCAGAGAATGTGTCATTAGAAAAATCACTTCTGAAAATTTTGGGAAGTTTCAATTTAATAACTTAATAGTAGTTTAAGTGAAAAGCTTAAATTTCTACAACTATATGTATGGATAAAAAACTATAATTATGCATAATAATTATTTTGTTCTTTCAATAGTTATAAACTGTAGGACCCTGTTAAACAACAATATTACGAATTAGAGACGCCTGTCTCTTAATTCATAATATTGTTGCAGTACCTGTACTGTGACATTAATGTTGGGAATTTCTAATTTAAAAAGTAATTCAATACGATTTGTTTAAATCAGTTCAGCTTGTCTTAAAATTGTTCATCCATTTATTAAAATACACATTTTTCGTTTGGATTAATTTTTGCTTTCATTTATTACAGATTTACTGTATTGCTCTCAGACTCAAGTTACTGGATCTCCTGTAGATGTCGAAATTTTAGATACAACAAGGGATCAGGTTAGCGTCTTTATTATTATTACTTTTTTTTTTAATTTTAAACTACCATAACAGCAAATCTTAAATATTGGGTCATATAAAAAGTCTCCGCGCTTTTTTGGTACATTTTTGAACAAGAATTTTCTTTATTGAAAATAATTTTAATCAAGTACATATTGATGATTATTATCTATGATCTTTCACCATTTTTCGGATAGCTTCATAATTCCATCGGTGTAGAATTTCTGTGGTTTATCGTCGAAAAAATTGTGAGAGTGATTTTCAGCGGCTCTTCCTTCGGTCGGCCATTTTTTTTACCATCAAGAGAGTTTTGCTGAGACCGAAGAAAATGGTAGTCAGACGGTGCAAAGTTCGCTCTATATGGTGGATGCTTCAAAACTTCCCAATCAAGTTCCGTCAATTTGTTCTAAGTCATGAAAGATGTGTGTGGCCGCGCATTATCATGTTGGAACACAACTCCCTTTCTTTTGGCCATTTCTGGTCGCTCTTTCTGTATTGCTTCGTTCAAACCGCCGAGTTGTGCACAGTACAGTGCCGAATCGATGGTTTCGCCAGGTTGTAAGTTATGTGGCACCTAAACATTGATCTTTTTGTAACCTGCCCATCAGCGGCCGAGCGGTAAAGTCGCAGAACACTAGTAGTTCTTTCCGAGGTTCGAATCCCGCGAACGGGCTGACTGCATGGGTGTTTTCGTGGTTTTCCCCATGTGTAACGTGTATACGAGCCAGTTTCCCTTAGAAAGTCCTCCACGAAGGCATCCCTCCCCTTAGGCAGATAGCCCTCGAGGCTTTGCCGTAATTAAATAACCTAACCTAACCTATCTTTTTGTAACTTACTCTTCTCAACTGATTCCAAACTGTCATGTGATTGATGTTTAGTGCCTCTGCTATTTCCTGACAGCTTACGTGCTGGTCTTGCTCCACCAGTTGCAAATTTTCATCGACTTTTCCAGTAACTGGCCGACCAGAGCGAAGTGCATCTTTGATATCGAAATTTCTGGAACGGAATCAAGCAAACCATTCCTGGGTGTTTTGTTCACTCACAGCATTCTCACCATACACTGCACAAATTTTTCGGCGTGTTTTTGCAGCCATTTTACCTTTTTTATAGTAAAAAAAAAAAGCATCACATAACGTATTTCTTTAGATATTTCACTCATTTGCAAATCAATACAACTTTTTACACAAGCAACGAAATAGAAAACTATTTTCACAAATAATGGAAGCTGAGTGTCACCTTTTAAGCATATGTTCGTTTGAGACCGGATGAGTGTGGCCCACCAGCGGCCGAGCGGTAAAGTCGCTGAACACTGGTAGTTCGGTCCGAGGTTCGAATCCCGCGAACGGGCTGGCTGCATGGGTGTTTTCGTGGTTTTCCCCATGTGTAACGTGCATACGAGCCAGTTTCCCTTAGAAAGTCCTCCACGAAGGCATCCCTCCCCTTAGGCAGATAGCCCTAGTGTGCTTTGCCATAATTAAATACACAAAAATATGTCCGGGTGAGTGTTGTCGGATATACAGGCATCAACGCCATCTAGTGGAAAAAAAAACGCGGAGGCTTTTTATATGACGCAATATCAATTGTATATTTTTCATATACGATGGCATAATGTAAGTTTTACTCTTAGACTGTAAAGCGCTTATTGATTGAATCGAAATTCAAATGTTAGTCTTAGTGAAATCCTTGTATTACTTACGAAATAACACAACCATCTTAGAAAAAGTCACTTGATTTTCAAATCGCGTCGAACCCTAGCAATCACACAACGGAACATTCTACAGCTTTAATAAGTGACAGCCCGCCTTATTGCTATCCGTTCTTTTCGCTGTATATTAAGTTCAAATATGTAAAAAAAATATATACATATATGCTGTAATAAACACTTTTCGTTCTTGTGAAATCTTAAGAAACATAATTTAAAATAATCCTTCCCCTTCTGGTATTGTTTAGTACAGTTTTCAAGAATCAGTAATCATATACTTGGAAACCATAATATTGAACAGGCAATATTGAATGCACGTAAAATTAAATGCAATAAACTTAAATGCGATAATTTCAGAAGACATTAATTTTTCGTACTTCATAACAAAAATGTTGTAAATTATATTTTGAATTCCATGGTGTTTGAGATTTTGAATTTATTGTTTGTCTGAGTGTAAAGCTTTACGATCGTTATAAAATACGAGAGTCAAAAATTATCTGTAGCCATTTTGCATTAGCAGCCACGAAAAAAGTCAAAAAATTATTTGCTTCCCCACTTGAATTATTAAGAAAGCTGGGCCTGGGCCATTTGCCAAAGAAAACTGTCTTTAACGGAGGACTTCCTCAATGGACTGTCTTAGATTTATGCTATGTGAAGGTAAACATGAAAAGACCTTGCACTGTTTATATCTGTTGTATCGAACTTTTGGAGGGAAATTCCAGACACCTAGATTGTATAATTTGCTCACAACAACTACTGCCGTGTTAGAACAGTTCTTTAGTATGTTATGCGTAAGTAGAAATTGCGATCTTATCACGTGGTAGTTGCCATTAAGACAGGTACGTGTACGACCAGACAGAAAAATCTAAATTTAGTTCGGTGTTAGCATCTAAAGAGGATGGGCAATTAGTTTTGCCATGATATTTATCATCCTCATTAAAACGAGCGCTTCTTTTGCCGTTTTGAGTCCGTAAGAACTGCTTGTACTCTCATTCGGATGCTAGCTTCAGTTCTGTTGGAAGAAGCATTATGTATTGTTACCGACGTATTTCGACTCATCTTGCTATGCTCATTCTGCCATGAACAAAGCCCTTTTCGCCGGGAGGTGCTGGCGATATGCCAGTACTTCGACAGGCACGTGTTTGAGACGACATTACGTCTGTTGGGAGACGAATCGCGATCCGGATTATCCTGGTTCTCATTTTCTTAACCAGACTTTCACTTCTTTTGGCCCCTCTTCGTTGGATTGTATCCAGAAGTTGAGTCGGAATTCTGCTGGCTGTTATGCTCCTGGGACGGATGTGGTTATGGGAATAAAACTGAAGTAGAATTCTAAATATCTGTATAAACTAAAACCACGGTCCATTTTTCCTGTAGGTTAAGGCAATGTACGTCACACTGCAGAGGAAGTACAGACAGTATTTATTGCAGAGGATGCAAATTTGAATCTTAGGTTATTCGTAGCAGGCAACGTGTAAAATCAGCTGTACATCAGCGGGAATTCGAGCCACTGATTTTCCATTTATTAGCTGGAAATACCCCTTAACGCATACTATGAAGGGAATGCGATGATTTCTTACAAATTATCATTACTAATGTTTAGTTTAGGAAAAAATGTGCTTATTGTAGGTAAAGAGTGATTCATAGACTGGTACAAAGAATAATAGTAGGCTAAATAAAGAGTATTTATATGGCTAAGCAGTGATTTCCAGCTATAAAAGAATAGTATACATTTCCAATGTAAACTGCTTTTCCGTTAACGTTTATTAGCTGCATTCAATGAACTCTATTGTGGCTATCACCTTCCTAAACCGAATGCCTCTACAATAAATCAGGATCATCGAAAATCGTGTATAGTCTATTAGAGAGAGCATTCATTCCGTTTACCGATAATTTAGGTTTATCTGTATTCGTTTAAAATAATAGCTCCTGATCAGATTGTTGTGTTACCTTTTATATTACTAAAATAAGTGATTAAGTAAATTAAAAACTAACGTACTTATGTTGTGCATTAAAAACGATAGCGAAACGGATACTTCGATTCAGGATGCCTGCATTCTTCTGTAAAATTTTGTTTTTAAACTTGGATATTTCGATAACAAACATCATTAAAATATTACAAAAACGAACATAGCACTTATGCAGTGTTTCTTAATTTAACAGTCATGAGTTACTCCAACTTCTTTCCGGACTTATGTAGTTTACATTTTGTTTACTTCCATCGTGGGAGTGAAAGGCTTTTGCTGGTGTCAGGTAAGGCAATAACAAATGTGACCCGGGGCGCATATTTCACAAGTGCACATCTGTGTAGCCACCGAGGGAGTGGCTTCTAGGACGGACCAATGGGCATCCAGTAATATTTCTGCCATGTCACATGACCTTTCGCGTGCTTTAAGATTTAAGCAAGATGTTTTAAAATATTTTACAACGCAATGTTTTGTAGAAAATAATTAAAGCATCGCCGATTTCTTCTGAAAGTTTTCATTGCGAAGTTAGATCAAATATAAGCAATTGTGAGGATTTCACTACCTGATTGAAAGAATTTGATACAAATAAAAACACATGTTGGGTACTCCGCAAAAATATTCATGTGAAATATTACTTAATAATTGGTAAATAAGATGAGAAAGAAATATGTGATAAACATCCGAGCCCAAATGCTATCTTTACATAAAACTATGCATATGAGAAAAATATTTACTCCAATTATATATGTAAATAGAAGTCAGCTCTTTTACTGCAGTCTATATGAAAAAGATGCTCTATAATAATAGCCAGTGCTAGTGAACTGTACTAATTTGCATTCGTATACATTTAGCGTGTTAAATTTCACATAACTGTTCACTCTTAAATGTACTGTCTACACAAGAAATGCTCATCAAACAGAATGAATTTATTTTATTCGCAACGAATATATTCAATTTATTCGCATATAACTTTTAATGTTAACAATGGATATAATCAGATCCCACACAATATGTATTCTGAATTTTACACTTTCAAAATCAAAAGCACTGAAATAAGAAAACAGTGGGTTCATTGTAACACTTCCATTAATTCTCAGCTCAGTTAAAAAAAATATACATTTAAATTCTCTTAATCCACAGGTGTTAGTAAATGCATAATACTCGAGGCTTGTAGCTTGAGTCATTTTCTCGATCTAAAGAGCTATAATATGCCGTGAACATCAATCTAAATATTAATGCGTGATAAAAATCGAGAAAGTAAAATATTAGAGATTAATGAAAATCAGAAAACGAAAACAGTACGAGATTTTCTACTATTACCATATATTTATATCTGCTAAACAAATCCAATTTAAAATGTAATCAACATACGCTCCCATGCACGAAGATTTAGCGTCACAAGAGCAATAGAAGCTCATTGCTTCATTTTCGAAATCCCTCCCTCAGTGGCTACGCTGTTGTGCACTTGTGAAATATGCACCCGGGGCAGAACATCGGCGAGTCTCAATCATAGTTCCTTGGGAAGTGTATTAGTTACATCATTTATAAAGATGCTGATGTCCATTGTACCTAGATTCTGGTTCATAGCTTTGTTATTTTAAAAGTCTGTGACAGAATGTATACAATGTTTCTAATGAACAATAGACACAAATACATTAATCTAGAACAAAAATCTTTGTGTATGACTGATATTGTTTATGATATAGTTAATTATTTTTCACTAACAGGCATTATTTTTTTTCTTCTAGACGGACAGTATACCCTCGGAAAAACTAGACTGGACTTCAGCATTTGTGATAGTATACAGCATCTCTTCCAAGAGCAGCTTCCTGGTAGCGGCGGACTGTTTGCGGCATTTATTAACCAGAAGTCAACCCATTCTTTTGCTAGCCAATAAAAAGGATCTGGAACATGCTAGAGAGGTTTCCACTGAGGAAGGTCGCTCTCTTGCTAAAGAACTTGGTAATGTAGCATTTGCCGAAGTATCAGCAGCTGAAGGACATGCCGAAGTAGCAGAAGCTTTCAGGACAATCATCGTTGATGCTTGCGCAGCAGTTACCAAATGTACAAATGTCAGTTCATCGCCCACAAACACAACTAGTAGACGCAAAATATCGGTGGTATCTGTTTCGAAGATTATTAGTGCTATGTTTGGACGTGGGGGAGCTATCGTGGCCGACCACCACAATCAGAAGAAGAGACCTTCTCTATCCTTATGAGATTCGGTTTCTGAGGGTACATCTAGTGAACAGAACTAATAATACATGATCTGCACGTTTCTGAAGCAGTCTGAGTTAAGGCCCATTGAGCATTAGTTATAAAACTACTAGAGAGGAATTTTTAGAGGAAGCGCAATGATGATTTTGAAATTTGAGAATCAGACTGCGAATTGCAATGCGCAGATGCTATACCATTTATTCTGCGCCCTGGCCACTTGTCATGTGCACTTTTTCGAAGAAAACATTTTCTTGTGTTCAGATAGTTTGATACAATATCATCGTGCCATATCAATTAATAGACACAGAAGTAGTTTTTAGTAGTAATTTTACTATAGTTTTATCTAGTCACCACTCATGTAGCAGTAAAAATATTTTATAAACTATAGAAAAAAATTCCTGTGAAATACATACATTTTACGCTTTTAATACAATTATTTCATTTTATTAATTTTAATTCCTGTTATACAATGAAGCTTTTTTATATGAAAGCCAAAACGTTTGGTCATCAGAAAGAAACAAATATTTGAAATTAATTTTTTTCAGAAAAGTAATCATGTGTATCATAAATATTTTTGTTTTTATTTTATACATAATTCAAAACAATGTCAAAGTATTTAAGCTTTTACAGTTTCATTTTTAAAATTTTCTTCAACATATATGGGAACAGTTTCTTAAATGTATGTTGGAAATTCCCAAAATATTACACTCCTTTTGAGAGAAACCTTAGAAATATATTCCATTAATGAAAAATTTTCTGTCGTATATTTCATTTATTAAAATTTTCTTCTGTTAAAATTTTTGAAGCAATTTTTACATTTGTTTAATATATTTTAAAGTATTTTAGAAATGTTAATGTACAGTTGATGTATTCAAAATGTAACTTTAAGCATTTGTAAAAGTAGAATACGCGCGACGATTTTAACACTTTATTAGAATATTTTCTTGGTGGTACAAACATGACTTTATTTATCATCGATGGCAATAAGTAGTATTCAGCAATCTTGTGGTCGGAACTCAGTGACTGTGGACGTGAAAAATATGTAAATAATTTTATGTAAATTAATTTCCTTTGTGGAATCTTGTCTTTCATCCCTTGTGCTCAAGGCTCCATGTAAATAAGTTTGTGATATGTCCTTCTTACATTGTATTAAAAAAAACTTTTTTATTTATAAATTTGTGTCGTTATTTCTAAACTATATAATTCATTTCTCTCCAAAAGAAAGCGGTATTATAAGCTTGTGATAAAGTAACTGAGTATTACAGACAATGGTTTAAGTATGTGGTTGATAAAGAATGTTTTAAAATTTGCTTCGAAATGCTGATATTGTTTTAATGTTTTTTAAGAAGATACACATTGCTTGCAAAATTATTTATCACTGTTTTAACATTGCTGTGACGAAATTATGAAAATCAAATATTTAGGAGTTACCCTGAACAATAACTTTTAGTTGAAGTTTCACATTTTGTACCTTTCAAATAAATTTAGAAAATGCTTCCAGGATTGTAGGAATTTTCTAAAACTCTTTACGGAATTTTATAACTAAAATTCTTAAATTAATTTCTGTAGGGAAGGAACAAAGCCTCTTATTTTATGAGCAGATAGGTTTGATGTGGTTCTTTAAAGCTAAACTGCATACTCCTAAGGACGATTCTGAAAGATGATTTCTTGCAAAAAATTTTCATGGCTATAGAACGGTTAGTTAAAGGCTGTTTTATCAATTTTGATATTTTATTCATTGACACTAGTAATATTACAGTGATCAGATTATCTGAATTATTGCAAACCTGTCTGACTAAGAAAGGATTGGACCTCATTCAAACGTTATAAGGTACGCTGACTCGAGCTCTACATAAGGGATAAATTACTAAGGCTGCTGTCACACAACTATTTGTTTCAGACGAAAAACTGTGTTAAGACGCAAGATTTTTTCCTTCCTTTCGCAAAACATTATTATAAACATTATAACCCTTAAAGTTTTCCTTTCGCAAACATATTATTAATTATTATAACCGTTTTCAATAACCAGTCAGCTATCAGAATCGAATCCCCTATCATCTACTATCATTCGTAATGGAGAACTAATTTCACTGTTACTTGCAGAACAATTTAATATGCAAAATTAAAATTTTCTATCACTGTTTAGAATTTAAAAAATTAGTATGCAAAATTGAAGTGCCGACTATTACAACATCTGGCCTAACGCAGCTAACAATGACAATTTAATTGCCTATCCAATATATGCCTGGAAATATATTTGTAATTGAAGAAATTCAAATCCAATGTTCATTTATCATCCTCTCCCCCACCAAAAAAAAAGGTAATCTTTGCTTATTCGGTAATTTACAGTTTGAGAAATAGTATTATGTACACTTCATGGAAATGGGGTAGGGAATGAAAGCGAAGTAATTAAAACTTGCCTTCAAAAAATAAAATCTCATGAGGATTTTCGGTGTAGGAGACATGAGAAATTACACTGTGCCCATCATTGGGACTCTAATCGCAAATCTTCCAATCTACCACTTGCCAGCTGAATGGGCTAACCACTTACATCTTAACCATTTCCGGCACGCTACCTTTTAAAGTCGGAGTTTTGATTAAAAAAAAAAAAGGTAGGCAGTCTAATTAGGCCTAGAGGAGTACAAAAGTAAAATTTTGTGACAATAGCACTTATCTTTTAATTCTGTGGTTGTGCCCAGAGCTTCGAAAAGAATGCCGAAACGAGCATTGTTGTCAATGAAATGACCGTTAACCAGAGAACAGGGGCTCCATTACCTAGCTGACATGATGTCTGCCTTACACGGATGAAAGCCTCTGCCTCCAGAAGCTATTTATTATAACTAAGCAGAATACGTTTACAAGGCCTTCAAGAACACAAGGACATAAGTAACATAGTCATTAATAAACCCTAAAGAAAGCATGTTACAAGTAGTACCTATAGCATTCAAACAATAAACCGAGTATACTTTCATAATTCGTACTGAAAATACGAAATACTTTCAAAACTGAGTCCAAATAATTTAAATAAAAACTGTGGTACAAACAAAGAAACAAAATATAATACACCCATTACTGTATTATACACAATTAATTTCAATTAGATTCACAATATCAAGAAGAACCATTCGATTTAGAAAAAATGCATAAACTAAGACAATAATAAACTGCCAAATAAAATTTCTTCATATGAATTCAGAATTAAGAACCAATAACTTTGATAACTGAACAATATTATCATAAAATACACTGAACCTGAGATATTATTACAATACAAAACATAAATTTGGTTTAAAAACAAAACCACTCCAAGTAATATAAAACTCTACATCAGGTTTGCTGGCAAACGCGATAGAAATACAGTCAAGAATAATGCCAACATAAAGATATGAAAAATTTCAAATTCAAAAACCAAATGCATTCAAAAATAAGTCAAAGAAAATTATTATAAAATATTGCCTTAAATGCACATTTTACAATAGAAAACTCAAGTAAAACCAATCAAATTCACAAAAACGTGTCAACTATTCAATTCAGAAAAGTGCAAAAAGGTATACAAAATAATTATTCTAGATTAAGTTTGCTGGCATCGCTAAGACAAATGCAATACTAGAAAAATGCCGGCATAAAATTTTACAGAATTTCAAAATCAAATACAAAATGCATTCAAGATTAAAGCAAAGAAAATTAATATAAAATAACTATCATGAATGCAAATTTTTATAATAGAATGCACAATTAATGCCTATCAAATTCACCAAAGCGAATCAATTCAATTAAAAAAGAATGCACTAAAGTATGCAAACTAATTAAAGTTTTCTGTTAAATTTATGTCCTAGATTGTCGGTGAGCCCGGTCTGGGCACACCTACGGTTCGCCGTTTGATTTTAGGCAAGATTTTAAGGTAAAAATTTAAAAACTAATATAGAATAAGGAGATTAGCATACAGCCAAAAAAATAACATAGAAATTTCTTTTCAAACAATTAATTTTATACCCTAAAAAAATTTGGAAGATTTCTTTGAAAAATGAGGGTCTTAACTAATGGCTAAAATACCGTATTTACGCGAATCTAATGCGCATCGTTTTTGGCCAAATGTAGTGCTCAAAATTGGGGTGCGCATTAGATTCGAGTGCAAAGTTCGCCGATGACGTCAGCAGTTCGCCGATGACGTCAACCAAATTTAAATCGTAACAATGGATTACTGTATTTCTCAACTACATTTATGGTTGACACATTATTGCATAGAGGATACAACTGCAGAGTACGTAGTCACGAAATGGAGGGCAAGCAGAGAGAATGTCATATGACGCTACTTTCAAACGTAAAGTAATTCTTTATCCTGAAAGAAATGGCAATAGAAAGGCTGGGAGAGAGTTAAACGTAGCTGAGAGCAATGTTCGCTTGTGGCGGCAACAGAAATTGGCACTGTTTGCAACTAAAACTAGTAGAAAGAAATTCACTGGCCCTCGCAAAGGAAGACACCCTAAAATTGAAGAAAAAGTTTTGGAATTTGTACGTGAAAGGAGGAAGAATGGACAACCTGTGACTAGTAACACTATAAGAAATAAAGCAAAAGAGGAGGCTGAAGTTCTTGGAATACCGAAACTAGCCGTGGATGGGTGGATCGGTTGATGAAGCGGATGAGCTTATCTCTAAGACGCCGTACAACAATATGCCAAAAGCTTCCTGCGATTTTGAGTGGAAAACTACTAACTTTTAGCGGTATGTCATCACACTTCGGAAGGAAAAGAATTTTTCAATGGGGCAAATTGGCAATGCTGACGAGACGCCAATTTGGTTTGATATGCCTCCTAACTACACCATTACGTAGAAGGGGACTAAGGAAGTTATCATCAAAATAGTGAATAAGACGTTTACTATTAATCACTGATTGTAGAAACTGTTCTAATAGAATGTTACGATTTATTTCATGTTCATACTTTACGATATGTACCGTATATACGGTAGTGGTAATTAACAATGATGTTTCACATAACAATAGCCCACTAATAGGTTAATTCTATGTCCTGCTACTTTATGTATAAATCCATTGTTGTATAAAATATGGTATCTAAATTTAAATAAAATTATCATACCATTGATTGATAGTTTATATACAAATCCATTGTTGTATAAAATAAGATTCAATAAATTCCTCATACCATTGATTTACATTCGCCGACAAAAATTTGTTTTATTATTTAAAGTTTTAAAATGGGGATGCGCATTAGATTCGCATAAATACGGTATATGGACTGGTTTGTGTTGAGCTGCCATCTACTATAAATAAAGAAGGTTCAGAGGAACCTATAAATCCTTTTTCATTCAATTTTTCTGTGTGTACAGAAGGAAATTTTTAGGTGTGTCCAGACTGGACACACTGTGCCGCAAAGGGTTAAGGGAACGCGCGAGGAAATGCACTGTTTCCAAACATTCTATCAATGGGGAACTAGGAGGAACACGAAACGCAATGGACACTAAATTCAGGAATGACGAACTTCTACCGCATTTTAATGCGAGTACCGTTGAGGAGTTCTTAGGCTCTTCAATGCAATGAGCGTGAACTTCCTCTGCCTCCGTCAGGATACTATCTGTACGATTTCCACTTACTATGTGGGCATGCTAACGATTTACATCTCGATCGCGCATGGTGAATGCAGCAACACAATTTTAACAGGTTCATTGCTGGAGCCTGTTTACTTTGTAGAGTCATTGCTCAGTACATTTTTAAGCGCATAACTTGCGTTATTAGATTAGCTTATGAGTTACAAATAATAAAAACCGCGTTGTAGATTTTAAAAAATCTGTTATTCCAAATAATGATGCAGTCAGTAACAGTGAATCATACTTAAGCCGAACGTTAGTAATTCCAAATGACCTGAGGTTTCTGTGAACCGAACGAGTTCAGCACCGATGCACTCCGTTCCCCGAAGCATCTCTTTATTTAGAAGCATTACTTAATTAGACGAAACATTTTTAGTGCTTAGTACAGTCAAAAGTCGTTAATTCGGACACCCATAATCCGGAATGATCTATAATCCGAACCTCAAAGCTAAAATCTTTCTGCGCATGCGCCGCGTTGACGCATGCGCATAGGCGTTCACGCTTGCGCGCAAGACCTTTACGACTGCGCATATGTGTCTGCGCAAGCGCAGAATACGTTTTCGCGTGCGCG